CCCAGCCCCAGAATAACTAAAGTGAGAGTTTAAATGGTTTACCTCTGTGGGATAAAACTTGGCTTGGGGGGATAGAAGGTAGAGACTTTCATTTTTCATTCTGTTACCATTTATTCACTTTAAACTTTCATATATGTTTAATTGTCCCTAGTGAATATCTTTTTTAGCCTCAAAATATATGGACCAGCTTTATTCTTTGACTGTTGTTGTATCCTGATGTGTCTTGAGATTGCTGAAAATGCTAAAGTGATAACAAGCCACATAAACTTTTCAGATAAGGAAGGTGACTGGTTTTGTTCTTATTTTTGATGATCATTTCACATCTGGGAACTAGGCTTCAGTTCTGGGCACTAGAATATTGATGACTATGGAGTGTGTATATAGAAAAGAGCATCCAAGCTGGTGAGGAGGTCTAGAAACATTACTTATGACAAAAGGTAAAGGGAACTGCTAATGTATCATCTGGGAAGCTATACATCAGAAGTGAGGGGAGCATGATCACTAGCTTTAGATATATGGAAGAAGGGGTGTATTGTTCTGTGTGAGCAGAAATAGGACCAGTGGGTAGAAATTACAGAGTGGTAATATTATAAAAAGCTTTCTAGCTACCAGAGCTGTGTAATGATGTCACTGTTACTGTTTAGACAAAGATATTGTGGAGAGTATGCTCACATTTGGTTAGGATTCTCCTAAAGGAACTTCTGAAGTTCCTTACAACTTAGAGTTTCTGAAGGATTAGTTAGAAATAAGTCTTTAAAGTAGTCCATAATTGTAACCCATAAGAGTACAATTAACTCAACATACACTTTTTTAATAAACATTGTGTTAGTCCATTCTCCTGTTGCTATAAAGAAATACCAGAGACTGAGTAATTTATAAAGAGGTTTAATTGGCTCACGGTTCTGCAGGTGTACAGGAAGCATGGCAGCATTGGCTTCTGGGGAGGCCTCAGGGAACTTTTACTCATGGCAGAAGGCAAAGCAAGAGCAGGCATCTTACATGACAGAAGCAGGAGGAAGGCAGAGGGAAGTGCTGCACCCTTTTAAACAACTGAATCCAATGAGAACTCACTATACAGTACCAAAGGGGGACCATGCTAAACCATTCATGAGAACTCTGCCCCCACCCATGATCCAGTCACCTCCCAGCAGGCCCCACCTTCACCTTCAACATGGGGATTACAGTTCCACATGAGAGTTCAGTGGGGACACAGATCCAAACCATACAGTTTCACCTCTGGCCCCTCCAAATCTCGTGTCCTTCTCACATTGTAAAGTACACTTATGCCTTTCCAACAGTACTCCAAAGTCTTTACTCATTCCAGCACTAACTCAAAAGTCCAAAGTCTCATCAGAGACAAGGCTAGTACCTTCCACCTATGAGCCTGTAAAATCAAAAACAGATTAGTTACTTCTAAGATAAAATGGGGATATAGGCATTGGGTAAATACTCCCGTTCCAAAAAAGAGAAATCAGCCAAAAGAAAGGGGCTACAAGCTCCATGCAAGTCTGAGACCTAGCAGGGCAGTCATTCATCCTTAAAGCTCCAAAATACTCCATGGGCACACTGATGCACAGGGTGGGTTCCCAAGTCCTTGGGCAGCTCAGCTCCTGTAGCTTTGCAGGGTTCATCTCCTAAGGCTGCTGTCATGGGCTGGCATTGAGTGCCTATGGCTTTTCCAGACACAAGGTGCAAGCTGCTGGTGACACTGTCATTCCAGGATCTGGAGGAGAGTGGCCCTCTTCTCGCAGCTGCACTAGGCAGTGCCCCAATGGGGGCTCTGTGTTGGGGATCCGACCCCACATTTCCCCTCTGTGCTGCCCTGGTAAAGGTTCTCTGCTCCTGTAGCAGGCTTCTGCCTGGACAGTCAGGTTTTTCCATATATCCTCTGAAATCCAGGTGGAAGTTCCCAAGCTTCAACTCTTGCATTCTGTGCACCTGCATGCTAAACACCACATAGGAGACACCAAGGCTTATGGCCTGCACCCTCTTAAGCAGTATCCTGAACTGTAGTTGGGCCAATTTTAGCTACAGCTGGAGCTGCTAGGGTGCAGGGAGCAGTGTCCTGGGGCTGCACAGGGCAGCAGGGCCTACAAAACCACCCTTTCCTCCTAGGCCTCTGAGCCTGTATTGGGAGGGGCTACCTGGAAGGTCTCTGAAATGCCTTCAAGGCATTTTTCCCATTGTCTTGAATATCAGCACTTGCCTTCCTTTTCGGTGTGCAAATTTCTCCAGCCTGCTTGAATTGCTCTCTTGTAAATGGACTTTTCTTTTCTACCACATGGCGAGGCTGCAAATTTTCCAAACTTCTATGCTCTGCTTCCCTTTTAAATATAAGTTCTACTTTCAGGTCATGTCTTTGCTCATGCATATGAGATAGGCTTTTAGAAGCAGCCAGGTGACTTCTTAAACATTTTACTTCCACTAGATACCCTAAATTCTCTGTCAAGTTCAGAGTTCCACAGATACCTAGGGCAGGGGCACAATCCAGCCAAGCTCTTTGCCAAGGTTTAACAAAAGTGACTTTTGCTCCAGTTCCTGGTAAGTTCCTCATTTCTATCTGAGACCTCCTCAGCCTGGCCTTCACTCTCCATATCACTATGAGCATTTTAGTTACAACCATTCAACAAGTCTCTAGGAAGTTCCAAATTTTCCCTCATCTTCTAGTCTTCTGAGCCCTTCCCACTCTTCCAACCTCTGCCCATTAGCCAGTTCCAAAGCTGCCTCCATATTTTCAAGTATCCTTCTTATTCCATTCTCGCATTACTATAAAGAAATACATGAAACTTGGTAATTTCTAAAGAAAAGAGGTCTGATTGTCTCATGGTTCTGCAGGCTGTACAGGAAGCATGGCAACATCTGCTTTGGGGGAGGCCTCATGGTGGAAGGCAAAGGGAGTGGGAGCAGGAGGAAGGGCGGGGGGGGTGTTGCTACACACTTTTAAACAACCAGATCTCATGAGAACTCTACCAGAAGACAACATCAAGGAGATGATGCTAAATCATTCATGAAGGATCCACCCCCATGACCCAGTCATCTCCCACAGACTCTACCTCCAACATTGGTGAACACAATTTGACATGAGATTTGGGTGGGGACAGATCCAAACCATATTAGACATGTTTTCAATAGGCTTTAGAATACAAAGATAAATAAGATATGAATAGACTCAACTCAGTCAAGTATGGTCCATTTCAGTTTTTCTGGCTTTTCCATTCTCTAGATACATAAAGGTAAACCAGTCATACCTCCTCCTCGTGACCCCATGGTCTACAGGGGATACTGTCAGGTATACATGTTTCATTACATTACAGCTGAAGAGCAAAGAGTGAGGACAGGGAAAGCTTCACAAAAAAAGTGATGACTGGTCCAAGTTTATCACCAACATGCTCTGTGACTTTCCATGCTGGATCATGTGGGACAAGGCAGGACCTTCTCTGGGACATGGTTCATAACATCTTATATACAAAATAGCCAGGGCTAGAGTCCCAGCTGCTCCAAAATTCCATGATTCTAATATGGTGATACTTGTTTTTCCCATCAAAATGTTTTAAGAAAATAGTCCAAATTTTAAAATATGGTAAAAAAAAAAAAAAAGTTTTATCTAAGTCTAATCTTAATGGCTATCCTTTCAAATTAAGTTTTTTAATGAATTTCGTGGAACAACTTGTTCCATTAGTCTGTTTACTTAATGTCTTTATGTAATGTTTATTTGAAATATTATGCACATTATAAACTTTTGCATTAATTAGTATGATACCCAGTGTATGACATTATTATTATTTCAGAAAGCATTCTTTTTAATTTCACTTTAGATCACCCCTGTGATTTTAATTCCTGTATTTCTTTTGAAGGGAAATAGCTTTATCAAATAGGATTTTAGATTTTTAATTTTGTACTTCTTGAGCATATAAAGATTGCTTTTAGAAGTAAAATTTTAGTGAACTTGAAATTCTCAAAGAATCACTGAGATTTGAGAAGTGACTTTTTCTTAGAGGAATGATCCAGTGCACCAGAGAAAAATATTAATTAGGGCTGGATTTAATTACCACTGTAAATTTATTGGTGCAAGAATTTTGACAAGTTTTTATTGACTTTAAATAAAATTCATAGCCATTTAATAAGCTAAAAAAAGTATAATATTTGACCCCCCAATAATAGATGTTCAAACCATAAACATGGTTTTGCAAAGAAAATTATTAAAATCATTATTTAGAAAAAAACTTTAGAATTGTGTTATTTTCTCTTGTATCATAGTCAACTCCATAAACTTTTCTGGGTTATGTGCTTGCATTTTACGGAAATAGTTTTATCATTTGTAAAATTCCACAACTGAGTTTTGTTTTCATCAATATTTACATTGAGGTACTGTTAGGAGCTACAAAGTGGAATTACACTGTTGTTTATCTGGAAGCTCAAAAATGTTGAGATCATCTTTATTAGAATTTCTTTCATCTGCAGCTGTGTACTAGTTGAAAAAAACTGATGGAAGCTGAAAGATGGGATTAACTACCACCCTACTACTTAGTGTGTGTTAATCCTACTGACACGACTTCTACCCCTTTAAAATAGGGGATGAGAGCTACTTCGTAGAGCTCTTGTTAGAAAAAAGTGATTTAATATTGGTGTCTGGCATATAGAAAGAACTTAATAAAGATGATAGTTTTTGTTTTTTTGACATCTAAGATTTAATTAACTTTCCTCAGTGGAAACTGTATCATTTTAGCAATACAATAATGTCTTAGCCATGAAATTTAGCATGTGTAATTAATGTAAAAATTATTGAGGTATTTTACATTGTATTTTTTGTGTTAAATTTTCAGCATCTTGTGTGTATATTACACTTACAGCACATCTCAACCTGACTAGCCATATTTCAACTATCCGCCACTTGACCAATGACTGCAGCATTGGATAACAAAGATCTAGCCATATTTTGGGTAATTAATAAATGACTATCCCAAGGCAAACTTTCAAAAAATAATTTTTCTTTCCAACAGACTACCATGGCTGCAGGAGTCTTGCCTCAGAATGAACAGCCATACTCTACCTTCATGAATAACAGCAAGTGTGTTGCAAACATGAAAGGTAATACCTCTTTAATACACTTTTTGTCTCTCTGTGCAAGCTAGCATTTAATAAAAGTAGCTATATGAATGGACACAAAAGAAAAGGCTCTCTTCTTCATCTTGGCCAAGATGATAAAGCAGTAAGTAATACATGCAACTTGGGATTCTAATATGAAGAAGAGAGCCCTACTTCTCCCAGTGTTTTTTCTCTCATGCTGTTTTGCTTTTTAATGATACCCCAGGCAAGGACAAGTGTCATGACTTGAACTCTTACTACCACATTTGCCCTTTACTCTTCCTGACCATCACAAGCTCTGAGCTGGGAGCCTTCCTGCTTCTACTTTCATGTTGCTGGTCTTGCTGCCACCACCGGCAGTTAACCAAGAGAGATGTTAAGTAATTTCTCTTGGCAGTACCACTTGCAGTATTTTCTAACTGCCCCCTTGGGGCTTTGCCGACATTCACTTTAGTCCTACTGTATAGAGAACTTTGAAGGATTTCTCCCCCAAGTATAGATTTGATGATAGGAAGAAGAGTAAAGGAGTAAGGATCTAACTAAAGGTATTGAGTTCAACACTTGCTAGAACAAGTCAGTTCTGTTGTGTTCTTGTTGGAATCTGACCACTCCACCAGGGGGCGTTCTCTCTCATCAAGAAAATCATTGTTTCCCACTTCTCATCTTGTCCAAACTCCATATCCTTGTAGATCCTCCTTCATCCGTCTTTGCTGTGTTTCGCCCTAGAGGCACTAATACTACTGGTAACTACCATTTGTGGACAGCTTCTAGGTGCCAGACTTAATGTGTTAGTTTCCCTGGTCTTAGAAAGAAGTATTGTCTAAAACAAACGCAAGAATGATGTCTACTGGCTGCTTCCCTTCTAGAATAATGTTTCCTTCCCCCTGAGTAACTCTTCATCCAACAAGTCTGAGTCAGATGAACCTTTTTCCCTTTTCTTTCTTCTGTTGTAAATGTTACCTCTTAGTTGGTGTTTCTCAATGGCAATTCTGTTGTCTTTGGGGGTGGACAACTCTTTGCTGTACTGGAGAACTCTGAGCAAGCATCTCTGCCCCCTCCCACTAAATCCAGTAGCATCCCCAGGTTCCAGTGACAATGAAAAAACCTGGCATGTTTCCAAACACCCCCAGGAAGGTCGCACCACCTCTATTGCGATCCACTAGGTATGCTGACTTTTACTTTTCCAAAAAACATCTTTTTAATTAAAATTTTCCTCTTAGTATAAATGCAGCTAATTTTTAGTTAGGAAAAAATCTAGACAAATAACATTTGCTTTATAGCTAATTTTAGTAAAGCATATCTCATCTATAAAGATAGTTATACTTTATTATGTTTGTGGATGGGAAGTATTTTTTTAAATGTTATATAGTGAATCATGGGAAAATGTAATTGGGGGATACATAAATAAAGTATTTATTTTTAAAGGAAAATAGAAAACTTATCAAGAAGTAGCTGTGGAGTGAGACAGACCTAGAGTTAAATCTTGATTCTACTACTTAAAAAAAAAAATTTTTTTTTTTTTTTTTTTGTCTTTTTGAGATGGAGTCTCACTCTGTTGCCTAGGCTGGAGGGCAGTGACACGATCTTGGCTCACTGCAGCCTCTGCCTCTCAGGTTCAAGAGATTCTCCTGTCAGCCTCCCGAGTAGCTGGGACCGCAGGTGTGTGCCACCACGCCCAGCTGGTTTTTGTATTTTTAGTAGCGATGGGGTTTCACATGTTGGCCAGGCTGGTCTCAAACTCCTGACCTCAAATGACCTGCCTGCCTCAGCCTCCCAAAGAGATTACAGGAGTGAGCCACTATGCCCGGCCATTAAAAAAACAAAACAAAAAACTTTTATTATGGAAAATTTCAAACACAAAAGTATACAGAATAAAATAAAGATACCCATATTTGTATCATCCCCCATGTATGCATCATCCCTCAAATATGTACCATAACCCAGTTTTAACAATCTCAGCCACTCACTTCTCTCACAGTTCCCTGCACTTTGAAGCAAACTGAGGCATCGCATCATTTTATTTGTTAAATAACCACATCATTGGCCCGGCCCGGTAGCTCACACCTGTAATCTCAGCACTTTGGGAGGCTGAATTGGGTGGATCATAAGGTCAGGAGTTCGAGACCAGCCTGGCCAATATGGTGAAACCTCATCTCTACTAAAAATACAAAAAAATTAGCTGAGTGTGGTGGCGTGTGCCTGTAATCTCAGCTACTTGAGAGGCTGAGGCGGGAGAATTGCTTGAACCCAGGAGGTGGAGGTTGCAGGGAGCCAAGATCATGTAGTACCCCTGCACTCTAGCCTTGGTGACAGAGTGAGACTCCATCTCAAAAATAATAATAATAATAATAATAACAATAAGCCACATCAATACTACCATACCTCAAATAATCAACAGTATTTGCTTGATATCATCAAATATCTAAACAGTGTTCAATTTCTAATTGTCTTATAGATATACCATAGACATATTTATATATATATCATGTGTGTGTATAATTTGTTTGAATTGGGATTCAAAAAAAGTCAATACATTGTAATTGGTTGCTATTTAGCTTCAATCTCTTTGCTTTTTTCTCTCCCAGGCTGGAGTGCAGTGGCATGATCTTGGCTCCCTGTAACCTCTGCCTCCCAAGTTCAAGCGATTCTCATGTTTCAGCCTCCCGAGTAGCTGGGATTACAGGCACGCGCCACCATACCTGGCTAATTTTTGTTTTCTTAGTAGAGACAGGGTTTAGCCATGTTGGCCAGGCTGGTCTCAAACTCCTGGCCTCAAGTGGTCCACCCACCATAGCCTCTGAAAGTGTTAGGATTACAGGCATGACCTACCTTGCCCAGCTTTCAATCTCTTTTAAACTTGGGCTTCCCTCTGTCTCTTTTTCCTTACAGTTTATTTGTTGAAGAAAACAGGTTTTTTTGCCTTGTGCAGTTTGCCACAGTCTGTATTTTGCTGATTATATCGACATGGTATTTTCTATAAATTGGTAGATGGATGTAGAGTCTAGTCAGATTTTTTTTTAGTTGGCAAGACTGTTTCATGGGCAGTGCTATGTTCCTGCCTCAGGATGCCCAGGCTGTATGATTGTCTTGCTTTTTGTGATGTTAATTTTTTTATTTTGAAATAATTTCAAACTTACAGTAATCGTACAAGAAAAGCACACAAAAGAACTCCTACATTCTATTCACCCAGAGACCCCCATTCAAGTTTTGTCAGCAGTCCCAATAATATCCTTTAATAGGAAAATGATTCTGGTAATGTTTTTTAAATCCCTTTCAAAGGCCTTAGTCACTCCTTTCTTGACCTTTATGACCTTAACATTTTTTAAGATTACAGACTTTTTTTTTTGTAACATGTTCCTCAGTTTGGGTTTGTCTCCTGTTTCCTCATGATAAGACTGAGATTATGCATTTTTGGTAGAAGGATCACAGATAGCACAAGATGTCGTTTTGCCCCATCACTGTTTAGTTTGATCACATCAGTAAAGCGGTGTCTGCCAAAGTTTATCCATTATAAATTATTCTTTCTCCCCTCATAATTAATATTTTAAGGAGAGATGCTTTCAGACTACGTAAATATCCTGTTCCACATCCAATTTTTACCTAACAGCTTTAGCATCTATTACTGTTTCTTGCCTGAATTAATTATTACTGTGATAGATAACTGGAGATTTTCTTCCCCTGCCCAACGCTCCAATAACTGGAGATTTTCTAATTTCATTATTCCTTCTGTCTTTATTAGTTGGCATTCTAGTGTAAGGAAGAATTTCCTGTTCTTATTTGTTCAATTATTTATTTATTTAGCATGGATTCCTGTTTTGCTCAGTGGATTGTGATCCTTTACTATGATTTATTTGGATGCTCCAGTTTCCCCATATTTGGACAGTAAGAACCCCTTCAAGCTGTTTACAATGTCCATTTTACGTGTCCCCGCCATTCCTGTATTCCTCACTCTCTGGCACAGCAAGATCTTCCAGCTCATCTTATTCTTTTCTTGCCCTGGCCCAGAAATCAGCCATTTATTCAAGGAACCTTGGTTCTTTTTAGTAGGAAATGGTACTTAGAAACCAAGATCTGGTATGCTCACTACTACTGGAATATCATGATTCCCAACCCCTTTTAGGGGACAGAGCTAGGAAATACGTGTTCATACATATACATAAGTATCTGTCCATTTTTACGGGTACAGTCATCCCTCCTTGCACACAGGGGATTGGTTCCAGGACCCTCCCACCCCCGGTATACCAAATCCATGCATACTCAAGTCTCACAGTCTCCTCTGTGCTACCCACCCGTGCTAAAGGGTTTTGCATCTTGCATATACTGTATTTTCAGTCCCTTTTGGTTGATAAAAATCTGCATATAAGTGGACTAGCTCAGTTAAAACTTGTATTCAAGAGTCAACTGTATATTTATTTCTGTTTCTGTCTATATATATTGAAAACCACAAGTTCACTTTGGTACTTCCAATTCTTTTTTTTTTTTTTTTTTTTTTAAGATGGAGTCTCCCTGTTGCCCAGGCTGGAGTCAGTGGCACAATCTCTACTCACTGCAACCTCCGCCTCCTGTGTTTAAGCAATTCTCCTGCCTCAGCCTCCCAAGTAGCAGGGATTACAGGCACCCACCACTGTGCCCTACTAATTTTTTTAGTAGAGACAGGGTTTCACCATGTTGGCCAGGCTGGTCTTGAACTCCTGACCTCAAGTGATCTGCCTACTTCGACCTCCCAAAGTGCTGGGATTATAGGCCTGAGCCACCATGCCCGGCCAGTACTTTCAATTCTAATCCAATATTACACCATCTTTATAGCTGTTCCCATTTATAATTATGTAAGAATGAGAAACCTGGCTCTTATTATCCCCAGTATGTTTGCTTGTTTACTCAGTCCTCCTTTTCCTAACCAGTCTCTCAACCCTGCCAGGCCATCACGCAACTCAGCTGTATTTTCCATACAGGGCCCGTACCCTGCCAGGCCCCACAGCATATGCCATGCACCTTACTAGTTG